CTCTGTCCTTTGGATAGAATAAAGCGAAAAAAGGGAAAAAAGTACAGTGCACAGTATAACTCTTTCAGGTAGCACAGTCCGATCGCCAACGGCATGTGTATCATAGGCATCTACAGCGTACACGTATTTTTGAGTGCCCGTTGTGTAATTTTGCGTCGAATTATGACGTTCATAGGTGAGACTAAACTTTCAATCGATATAAATGCGATAGTAATGTGAAAAAAATCGCTTTTCTAGAGTGAAATGGCATATCAAGTGGATGCACAAGGATGACAAAGAGTTGGAACCGATTTCCCACGAGAACGAGTACAGGTAGTGTAAATGTACTGTAATTATTTTTGAAAGTATCAGTGTGAATTTACTGAAAAAGGTAGATTTTTCCGTGGAAGCATTCCTGGGAAGTAGTTACAGACAGGCCGTAAGTTTCTTCCGTAGAATACGTCAACTTCGTCAACTGTGCCGCGTTGCGTCCGCACGCGTCCTAGCTCGAAGGTTTCCTAATAAGGTGTGGGGCAAAATAGCTGTGATGTACTGGTAACCAGGATATCACAGACTATTTTGCCTAGATGGTATTCATCTCGCGTTTTAAGGGTGACAGTTTATAGTTCCGACAGTTAGCGTCCAAACCCGAGCTAGGAGATTTGAGTTACAGGATTCGTGGCAAAGATGACGTCGCGTGCGTTGCATCCGGACCAAGACCTAACTGATTTAACGTGAAATGCTGCAATTTGTCTAATCTAGTAGCTAGGAATTTCAAGCTAGTTTAGGCTCATTGCCGCAGCGTGGGTTTCCTGACCTGCCCACACTGGGAACCGAGACAGCAATACGCCACACTCGGTCGGTCATGTCATCCCTGAACTTTAGGGGAAAGTATCTCAAACCTTCACGTGCAATAATCGCGCGCGGCTGCACTTGGTAGTTCCATCTGGTCTGTTGGAGGGAAAACGGTACAAGCCGTACTGATTCTTTTTATCTAAAATCTTCTTATTCGAATTACTATCTACTGATTTTTGTTTATAGGAAGGAAATTGACCAGCTCAACGAGGAATGTTTCCCTGGTTGGCAACACCGTCGAAAACCTTTCTGGTGGTTGGAGAATGATGAGAAAAGGCCTGAGGTACGAACTTGCTGAGTTGTTAAAGGGTCAGTATCGTGCGCGTCACAGCCGTGTACGCACGAATTTCGTAGGTTTAGAACAGGCTTGCACTACCCTTTGCTGAATGAGGCACCGTCCGTCTTGGGAGGGGACATTTTTCTGGTTCCCATCGATCCCTGTGGAGATCCGTAAATTCCTGAAATGCTATGCAGTAACAGGAATTTTCTCTACGAGCCTACAGGTCACGCCAAGGTGTGAATTTAATTCAACAGGAACTAATAAAAGCAGCTAGCGGCAGAGCAAAATGTCACTCCCAAGCCGAATAGCGTCCTGAATGACTAATTAGTTATGGTCAGTAAAGGTAGCTTATACATGGTTATCGCCGTATCCAAAAGTTATCCGTTTTCAGTCCTAGTTCCACAGTTGTTATCGTCGCAATCAGTCGGAAGTTGTCATGAGGCATGAAATGAGCCCAACCCGCGGCGGTTTCTACCACTGGTTCTTTTCCTCCTCAATCGATCCCTAACCGACAGAAAACACAGCTGAAGTGAGGCTCATCTCACGTCTCCTCACACCACCCGGAACTTATCGTTGACAAAAGCAACCAATGCATCGCCCCGGATGAGGCCCCGAAAGTTACCATCTATCTTTCCTGGAACGTTTCGTTGGCCATCCCTTTGGGAACGGCACCGTTAATTTTCAGGGAATTCTAGCGAGGGGCTTATGAATGCGTTAGTTAACCCAAAGGATAACTCACAGCGGACAGTCCGTGCCTATAAAGCAGACAAACTTCCTGCCGATTTGTCAGATGAAACATGAAGAGCCAGAGATTGACGTGGACAGCAATCGAAAACGTCTCGGATGTTGTGCAACAGGGACAGCCCACACCAAGTTCAATTGCAATGATGAAGTCAGTATTACTCTAGCTCTTTTGCAAATCATTGTGATGTAATATGACGTGGATACGGTATGATATGACATGATACCTCACGATGATTTTCAAAATGAGAACATGTTATGATGTCAAGTTGGAAAAGGGATAAAATAGTATGACACACAGACATGTCGGATTATATACTTTAACACGTGCTGGACCGCATGACACACATGGTGTGTCATGCGGACACCTATGGCGTGTCATACCTTATCTCTGCGCCATTTCCTATGGTTTCATTTGGCATCTATTTCTGATCCTTTAAAGTTATCAGAACAATGAAATTACGGATTATCGATGTGAAACGTAAGATAAGATGCGAATATTCCTGTCGGCGACCACAAGAGTAAAACAAATATGTTGCTTTAGTCGAACTGTACATATCATGAGATATCATAATGAATTATACTGTATCACTTAATATCGTGTATAATACATATCTTCAACTTTAGTCAAAAATAGTAAATAGTAAACAATTGTGCGTAGTCAATATATCTATTCAGGATGACTCATTATACGATGAATCATTGGATAATAACAAGGATCACGTTGGTCAGCCGATGAAACGTGTCAGCGAATGGACGTGTCGGGTTTGTTACTTTGGGGCGTTTAGTTGAATTAGGTTGTCCTAAAAGTTCGTGAACATTTTTTTCTGGTATCAGATCTTTCCTTAGCCATTTCGAGATCCAATTATATGGTCTGTGGGAAAATGTGATTAGAATAAAAGCATCCACTACTTCCTTTAACGTCCCGCTGTTCTCATATCCAAAACGGTAATTGAAATCACCAAGCCACAACGTGATTGGAGCCACAAGCGGCATTTCTCTGAGTCAGGTCTTGATGGTACCTTCCTCAGTACGGTGCTGAAATGGTCCGATCTTCCGTTTGAGTGACTTCTATCGTGAAAATCGTCCAAGGGAGCCAGGTACTTGGATTTGGACCTTACTGAGGGCTTCAATCCCTTCAAAAAAGCTTGAAGTTTGGTCATTTTTTCTCATGAGGAAGCAATACTCCGAGGGGAGCCTCTTGGGTAACTGTCTAAACCTCTCTCCCGCTTCGCCCGGACTGAATTGAACAACCTTTCTGGACTGCAGTTATAAAGAGGTGTCTCTAAGTGTGAATCACTCCAGGAAGCGCAGTGGCTAGATCTCCAGAAAGAACAGAACGATCGCACTAAAATCGTATCAGTCACTAGCGGTGAGACTGTGTAATGTGGTGGGGATCTTCTTTCTCCCTTCACGGAACAAAATTGTAAGTCCTTTAGCGCTGTGCGTAACCAAACGAAACCCTTTTGTAATCAACTGCGAAAGAGGGATGGAAAAATCCCCACATTTGGTCCCACAACCGAGCAATGTTTGCCTACTCCACCACAGCTCAGGGTCACACATTTGGAAAACGACACTGCTCGAGATCCCGAAGCTTAGCTGGGGAATTCCACCACAGTCTTCGTGTAGCCCTGACTTAGCTCTTTCCGATCGCCATCTAAACTAATCCCACAGCGGCCATCTTCTGGGTAAAAAAATTTGATAGTACCTCAAAAATGACCCAGCTGCCTTTCTCAGGCACGAAACCAGAAGGCTTCTGGAAGCAAGGCAACCACTCTTTGCGTGGTGGTTGGCAACAAGTTGCCGATGAAGGTAACATATATATTAATGATCAAAATTGCTTCCCACTGGAATAAACTTAACTCGAAAAAAATTCGAAAGTTCCACGAACTTTTGGGACGACCTAATAAATATAATGAATAGTGAATTAAACAGCGCTGTTTGGCACGGTGGGGTACCGAACGGCTCCAGCTAAGCTCGAACAGGCACCATGTGGAAATCTGTTAGTTACCACAGCTAAAGTGGCCCATTTGTACCATTTCGTAGCTGTTGGGGGTTATCATAAGCGCAAGTCGCACGCTGGGGATCAGCAGCGAGGGGGTTCCATTGCTGACTCTTCTCGGTTTTTCCTTTTCTCGGTTTCAAGTGCGCTACACTTTTTTGGGGGTGACTGAGGAGTTTTTAGAAAGAAACTTCGAGAAAATAATAGACGATTGGCAAAATATAGTGTTAGATAGGTGGTACTAGAGGAAGGAAATTTTGAGGTGGAGGTGGTATCCTGCAAAAATTTTCCCCAACGAGAGTCATACACCCTAGTCATAAGGTACGGTTTGGGTATAACGGAACTTGCGGATGCCAATCGATGTACGGTTTTGTGCCCCCC